CAAGGCCCGGGCATCGAAGCCGCCAACTCGCGCTTGAAAGTGGGCGTCTTGGTCGCCCAGTGGTGCCCTCATTTATTTTCTCCCCCAATTTTTGTTGGGTTCTCCATGTTCCCTTTTTCTAGGGTTTAGGGTCTAGGGTTTGGGTTCCAGGTTCTCCCTTATACAGCAACCAGCCCCCCCCTAGAGGGTACCCTCATTTATAGTACGGCTGCTGGGCTACCAAGGTGTCCGAAGATTGGCCGCGGGCCGCTCGCCCGGCTTAGTGCAAGGCTGTTTTTTTTTCCCACTTAGCTGGCCCTAAACCCTCAAACGCTGGAAACACCCCCACCTCACCCTAAGCCCTCAACCCTCTAGGCCCTAAACCCTGCAAGCCCCAAGCCCTGAACCCTTTAGACCCTAAACCCCTAACCCCTAACCCCTAAACCCTAAGCCTTAAGCCCTAAGCCTTAAGCGCCCCAAGCCCCAAGCCCTGTAAACACCCTGTAAGGCGTGCTACCGGCCATGGTGCCCGACGCCGTGACCAGCTTCGGCAGCCGGGAGGAGCTCCAGGATGCCGTGCTGGCGTCCTCCAACGCCCCCCTCGGCTCAACGTGGGACGAGAGGGGGGTGTAGGGTTTAGGGTTTAGGGTTTAGGGGTTACAGGGTTTACAGAGTTTGCAGAGTTTGCAGGGTTTGGTTTGAGGGGGTTTGGGGTTAGGATTTAGGGTTTAGGGTAAATGGGGTTTAGGGTTTATGGCTTAATGTGGCTTTGGAGGGCTCATGAGGTTGAAAGGTTTTAAAGGGTTTAGAGGGTTTAGAGGGTCTAGAGGGTTTATAGGGCTGATAGGCCTTAAAGGGTTCATGTAACGCTTATAGGGTTTGTAGGGGTTTTGGGGTTTTGAGGGGTTTTGGGGTTTGGAGGGTTTAGGGTTTACAGAGTTCAGAGTTTGTAGGGTTTAGGGTTTTGGGTTAACAGGGTTTAGGATTTAGGGTTTGGACAAGAGCGTTGCCAGGAGCCTCCAGGATTAGGAACGCTTTAAGGCCTTTCGGGGTTTAGGGTTTATGGATCCCTGCTTTGTGGTTGCAAGTGTACCCGTATTGAGCCTATAAACTCTAAGGCAGCCAGTCCACCTGTGATCCGGATGTTAAGTGGCCACCCGAAACCCTAAACCTCAAAAGGTTTAGGGTTTTGGCTTTAAGATGTTGAGCTCCAAGACCTAAACCGCAAAGGGTTTTATCGTTCAGGATCTAGGGCAGGGTGTAAACTAAACTTAGCAAGCCCCTCCGCCCGGTGGAGCCCTCGGTTACCAAAGAACCCTCAAACCCCAGAAACCCCCCACGCCCCTCAAACCCCTAAACCCTAAGCCCTAAGCCCTAAGCCCGAACTCCTAACCCTTAAAGCTAGACCTTAGACCCTAGACCCTAGACCCTAGACCCTAAACCCTAAACCCGAAATCCTAAACCCTAAGCCTTAAACCCTACTGGACCCTAGACCCTAAACCCTAAACCAACCCCAAACCCTAAACCCCAAAACCAGGTTTGGCTCGTGGTGAACCTGTTGCCCTGGCGGCTGCTGCCGAGCCTCGGGGCTCTTTGCAGCGACGGGGTGGCCGGGGCGAATTAAACGTGGGGGTTTTGAAAATGATGGGTTTAGGGTTTAGGGTTTGGGTTTTGGGGGTAGGTTAGAGTTTAGGGTTGAGGTTTTAGGGGTTTAGGGGGTCTACAAGTGTGGGAATTTTATAAAGGGTTTTGGGGGTATAAGGAGTGTGGAACATAGACCCTTAAGCCTTAAACACGAAGTCCTAAACCCTCAGCCCGCCCCCCACCCCCCTCCCTCACCCCCGCCCCGGCCCCTCCAACCCTCCTAAGGTGAACCCCTACTCGCTCTTCTGCTTCTACGACTACGCGTTAGGGCCCTGGCTCTGATTTAGGGCTTCAGAGTTTGGGGGTTCCTTCGAGCTCCGGTTAGGCGCTGCCAAATTCATTGCATATGTGTGCCAAAACCCTACAACCCCCACAAATCCTGTAAGCCCCCTGTGAGCCTAAACCCTCTTGCTTTCCGAGGCGGCAGCTGCGCAGCGGGCAGTACAAAACGACAGCTCCGAGCCACCTGTACCTGGAATGCACGACGCGACACCCCCTTTACCCTCTTACCCAACCTCTTTAGGGTTATTTAGGGTTTAGGGTCAGGGCTATTTCTTAATAACCCTATATCCCAAACTCTAAGAACTTGCGGAGGGGTTTAGGGCTTCGGATACTTGGAGGTGCATTGAAGCACCCTGAGTCGCTGCCAAAGCTCCATGACTGTCTTGCTCAAGTGAGAGAACGACCGCTTGTCCAAAGCAAGCACGCCTATCATCAATTCGGTTTTAGCAGTCGCAATGCAGATCTTCGTGAAGACGCTTACGGGCAAGACCATCACCTTGGATGTTGAGGCCTCGGACACGATTGACAACGTGAAGGCGAAGATCCAAGATAAGGAGGGCATCCCGCCGGATCAGCAGCGCCTGATCTTCGCAGGCAAGCAGTTGGAAGACGGCCGCACGCTGTCAGACTACAACATCCAGAAGGAGTCGACTCTTCACCTGGTGCTGCGCCTCCGCGGTGGCATGCAGATCTTCGTGAAGACCCTTACGGGCAAGACCATCACCTTGGATGTTGAGGCCTCAGACACGATTGACAACGTGAAGGCGAAGATCCAAGATAAGGAGGGCATCCCGCCGGATCAGCAGCGCCTGATCTTCGCAGGCAAGCAGTTGGAAGACGGCCGCACGCTGTCAGACTACAACATCCAGAAGGAGTCGACTCTTCACCTGGTGCTGCGCCTCCGCGGTGGCATGCAGATCTTCGTGAAGACGCTTACGGGCAAGACCATCACCTTGGATGTTGAGGCCTCAGACACGATTGACAACGTGAAGGCGAAGATCCAAGATAAGGAGGGTATCCCGCCGGATCAGCAGCGCCTGATCTTCGCAGGCAAGCAGTTGGAAGACGGCCGCACGCTGTCAGACTACAACATCCAGAAGGAGTCGACTCTTCACCTGGTGCTGCGCCTCCGCGGTGGCATGCAGATCTTCGTGAAGACGCTACGGGCAAGACCATCACCCTGGATGTTGAGGCCTCAGACACGATTGACAACGTGAAGGCGAAGATCCAGGACAAGGAGGGAATCCCGCCGGATCAGCAGCGCCTGATCTTCGCAGGCAAGCAGTTGGAAGACGGCCGCACGCTGTCAGACTACAACATCCAGAAGGAGTCGACACTTCACCTGGTGCTGCGCCTCCGCGGTGGCATGCAGATCTTCGTGAAGACGCTGACGGGCAAGACCATCACCCTGGATGTTGAGGCCTCAGACACGATTGACAACGTGAAGGCGAAGATCCAAGATAAGGAGGGTATCCCGCCGGATCAGCAGCGCCTGATCTTCGCAGGCAAGCAGTTGGAAGACGGCCGCACGCTGTCAGACTACAACATCCAGAAGGAGTCGACTCTTCACCTGGTGCTGCGCCTCCGCGGTGGCATGCAGATCTTCGTGAAGACGCTGACGGGCAAGACCATCACCCTGGATGTTGAGGCCTCAGACACGATTGACAACGTGAAGGCGAAGATCCAGGACAAGGAGGGTATCCCGCCGGATCAGCAGCGCCTGATCTTCGCAGGCAAGCAGTTAGAAGACGGCCGCACGCTGTCAGACTACAACATCCAGAAGGAGTCGACTCTTCACCTGGTGCTGCGCCTCCGCGGTGGCATGCAGCGTGAAGACGCTGACGGGCAAGCTGATCAGACACTAACGTGAAGGCAAAGATCCAGACAGATTGATCTTCAACCTCATGCTGCGATGTGGCATGCAGATCTTCGCTGAAGACGATTGACAACGTGAAGGCGAAGATCCAAGATAAGGAGGGCATCCCTCCGGATCAGCAGCGCCTGATCTTCGCAGGCAAGCAGTTGGAAGACGGCCGCACGCTGTCAGACTACAACATCCAGAAGGAGTCGACTCTTCACCTGGTGCTGCGCCTCCGCGGTGGCATGCAGATCTTCGTGAAGACGCTGACGGGCAAGACCATCACCCTGGATGTTGAGGCCTCAGACACGATTGACAACGTGAAGGCGAAGATCCAGGACAAGGAGGGTATCCCGCCGGATCAGCAGCGCCTGATCTTCGCAGGCAAGCAGTTGGAAGACGGCCGCACGCTGTCAGACTACAACATCCAGAAGGAGTCGACGCTTCACCTGGTACTGCGCCTCCGCGGTGGCATGCAGATCTTCGTGAAGACGCTTACGGGCAAGACCATCACCTTGGATGTTGAGGCCTCAGACACGATTGACAACGTGAAGGCGAAGATCCAAGATAAGGAGGGTATCCCGCCGGATCAGCAGCGCCTGATCTTCGCAGGCAAGCAGTTGGAAGACGGCCGCACGCTGTCAGACTACAACATCCAGAAGGAGTCGACTCTTCACCTGGTGCTGCGCCTCCGCGGTGGCATGCAGATCTTCGTGAAGACGCTAACGGGCAAGACCATCACCCTGGATGTTGAGGCCTCAGACACGATTGACAACGTGAAGGCGAAGATCCAAGATAAGGAGGGTACGCCAAGGGTTGCAAGCAAGCAGCCGAAAGCTCCGGCAAGGGTTGCAAAAAGCCAGCTAAAGGCTCCGCGAGTGCACCCGCATCCACTCGGCCATCACGCAAGCGTGATGCTGAAAAAGCTGGCTTTGGTAAGCTCTCTGATTTCGCGTCCAGCGTGCAATCAGCGCCCAAGCGGGCACCGAGTCAGATTGCAGGCTCTGCTGAACAAGGGTGTGGACAGGCTTCATGTCGTCAGGATGTTGAGGCCGCTGAGGACGAGGACGGATGGAGATGCGATGTCTGCCAGGTGCTTATCGTTGCTGATACTCAGCGGGCGCTGACTTGCGCGCGCAACAATCACATTCGACGCGTTCATCCCGCAGTTCCCAAAAGTGCTTTCTCACAGCTGTGGCACAATGCTGTGGCGGAGGTTGAGGTCCGTGATGTGCCGATGATTCGACGGGCATGGACGTGCTCTCGGTGCCAGAGGGGTGTTGAGGACACACAATTACCCTATCACGTTCTTCACGCAGCTGCTCGTGCGCATCTTCGGGTTTGCGTTGGTCCCAAGTTTACCATGGCACAGAATTTTGCCAAGTGTGTTTCGATGAAGTTGACAAGGCAGTCCTTTGGTGCAGTAAACTGCGCCCGCACTGCGCGGCGGCGTGCTCGCCTCGGTCAGCTGTCCATGGCTGGCAAAAACGACCACCAAGTGGTGGAGGTGCTTTGTCCTCGGGTTGAGGGCTCTTCGACGGTGACTTGGCTCTCTTGTCAGCGTTGTACACGATTCTTTACGCACGTTGGGCAGGTTCAGGGTGGCAGTTGTCGACCGCATGCGCGCAAAGCCATCTTGCGGCGGAAGCATTGCCTATGGCGCCACCTGCGTCTTCATCACAATGGGCGTATTGGCGGGCTTGCTCAGGCGTGGAGGCTGTCGTTGACTGAAGCTCGCTTACTCGAGGGGCTGGCGGAGAAGAAATACAAGAAAGCATGGAGGCAGGTGACGCCTCTCCAGAGCTGTTCGTGGTTGCGGGATCTCTGCGCTGATGGTGACGTAGAACCTCACCCGGGACCTTTACGTGCGGGTCTCCTGAACGTCAACGGCATGGCAGGGGCATACCGGGCCCTTGGTACATTTGATCGCCTGCGTTGCGGTTTTGTCGTGTTGTTGGAGACGCAGGCCAACCGACATCAACATGCTCAACTGCAAAAGGCGCTTCAGAAAAAGGGCTATCGCACATTTGGGTTCCCTGGACGTGAAGGACGTGATGTGCGTGGACGCCCGTTTGTACGGGGTGGTTTGTTAGTGGGTGTTCTGGGCCACATACGCGCTCGGTGTGTTCGCACTCATTGCTCCTTGCAAGGTGACCTGCTCACCTTTGACTTCTTCTCTTGCTTCATGGCGGTCGGCTGGCAACGTGAAGCAGGTCTCTCCCAAGGAGGGTTGGGCGATGAGTTGGCCATCTCGAGGCATTTGGCGGTGGAGCGTGGCGTACCCTGGTCGGCGATGTGTGACTGGAATGTAACGCCGTCAGACAATGTTCACGTGCAGCACGATGGCTTGGAGTGGCTAGCCCCATGTGATTCGCAAGGCTTGCCGTTACCGTCGCGCTTTGGATCTACAAGATGCATCGACTATGTCGTTCATGAGCATCCTTCTCCATGGACAACGGTGAAATTCGGGAGCGAAGCGATCTCGGATCACAAAGTGCTCGTTTTCCAGGGTGCGTTTCCCGCTTACCGCGAGTGTGTGGCCTACATGCGGCCCACGCCGCGATATGGTTGCCCATCGAGTTACTCCAAAAAGCAATGGCAGGATCTTCTTGCACAGTGCTGGGCCCGTCGCGATCATCCTGTTCCGCGCGGAGAGCCCGATGCCGAGTGGGATGCTTTTTGTTGTGTGGTGGAGGATGTGCTGAGAGAAGCGTCGGATGCGGCAGATACTAGGGTAAACAGTATGGCCACTCGCCCTAAAGGCTCCCGCCCTTCCCTTATGAAGCAGGGCGAGTACTGCAAGTTGGTGCATACGCCGCACAGCTTCAAAGCTCGACAGCTTGAGAAGCTCTTGGCCCGCCTCCATGAGGCGCAGCGTCAGCGGATGTGTGGAGGATGTGATCCTCGACTTGAAGCTGCTATTGAGCGTACGTGGCCCCCTGAGTTCCAGCCCTTCGTGGACTATGCCTCGGCGGTCGACGTTGTGAAGGCGGAGCTTCAACAGTTGCGGGACACAGAGATGCGACGCAGGGTTTCGTCATGGAAGCGACGTCTCTCACAGGGTGGAAGTGAAGCTACCAGATGGCTCAAGGCTCAGACTACAGTGGCCCCACACACTTTGCTGGTCAAACCATCTGAGGCGGGCCTCCAGCCGCGCATTGCTGCTTCGACTGCTGAGTTCTTTCGAGAATTGAGGGCTTTCTGGGGTGAGATTTGGGACAGGGCCGATCTTCCTGAAGAGCTCCAGCGTCTTCGGGAAGGCCAACTTTCACGGCCTCATGGTGCGCCCATAGAGGGGGATTGGCGGATCTCGCCGTGTGAGTTTCGAGAGGCTCTCAAGGCCAAAGCTCATGGTGCTGCGGGTTGTGACGGCTGGAGGCCCGAGGAGCTGTTACCACTTCCCCTGGATACATGGCATTGCTTCCTGACCCTGTGGCATGACTGGTGCGAGCGTGATGCTTTTCCTTCAGCTCTGCAGCATGCCAAGCAGGTCTTTTTGCCCAAAACTGAGGTCATTGACGGCGTGGCAGCAGTGGATGCGCTTCGTCCCATTTGCGTTCAACCTGTATTGTGTCGTGCCATTTCGAGTTGTATGGCCTCGAGATCACAGTCGTGGATGCTTTCCAAAGTCCGTGCTGACACTCTTGGCGCTCTCCGTGGGCGAAGCGTTGAGGCGGCCGTGCTTGCTTTGGATGCGGCGTTTCAGCAGGATTCCATTTTGATGAGCCTGGACCTCTACAAGTGCTTTGACTTAGTTTCGCCAGAGTTAGCCATCGGTTTGCTCGAGCATGAGGGCCTGCACCCTCAATGGGCCCGCCACTTGAGGCACATGTGGTGCAAGCAGATGCGATGGCTACAGATTGGGGCTTGGACTGATCCGTCGCCGGCGGAGGTCAACAATTCTGTTCCTCAAGGGTGCGCAATGGCGCCTTTGGCTCTAGTATGTCTGTTGCTTGAAGCAACGTCAGATGTGGCGAACACTGCGGCAGACCACACCTTCTGTCAAACAGTTTTTGTTGACGACCGTGCCCTGGTTGCTGTTGAACCCGCAGTTGCTGTAGGTGCATGGCGATGCTGGGAGTCATGGTGTGCTAGGCTGGGCCTTCGGGAGAATGTGAAAAAGCTGTGTGTTCTTTGCTCAGATTCCCAGAAACGGGCCGAGCTTGTACGTCTTGGTGTTCCAGTCCAAAGTTTCGCCGATGAGGCCAGAGTCCTTGGAGTTGATTTTCAAACTGCAGACTGCGAGGATTTGGCTTCCGCTTCTCATGACCAGCGTGTGGCCGTTGCAGAGGGCATACTGCAGCGATTGGCTCGTCTCCCAGTCTCCAACTCGATTAAGCGGATGCTTTTCAGGACGAGGGCTTCTCCTTTGCTTACATGGGGGGTGTGGTTTCAAGCTGACGACGCGGCTCTTGATTTCAAGCTCACGACTCGCATCAAACGTATCGTCGGCCAAGTTACGACCATGGGCTCACGGCATCTATGGCAACTACTGGAAGGACATTGGACCTCACCAGCTTTTGCGGCTTCCGTGGCAGCAGTGGCTTCCTTCCTGCGGGCGCGACACTACTGGCTACAGCACCACGTTCTTCTTCGACCTGGGCGGTGGCTACGACGGGTTTGCGCTGTATTTGGGGACGCGGACTTCACGCCGGTGAGGCCGACACTTTGGCGACATCCTGCGCTGGGGCGGGTTTCCTGGACGGAACCTACTTGCCGTCTGGCAATAGGTCGGGTGGTGCATGCGCTACGTGAAGCACACAGGCGACGACTTTTCGACCTCTTCCTGGCTCGCGACCGGCGCGACTCACGCTTGTTGCAGCACGTGAACTATGACGAGCAGCAGGTCCGGGCCGCTTCTCGACTATATGCTCAAGCTGGCGGACATCAACGGGCAGTTATGCATGGAGCGGCGCTCAGCACGGCCGTCTACGGCGTCATTCGGGATGGATTCGCGCCCCCGCGGTGCGAGTGGTGCATGCAGTGGGTGGTTCCTTCCTGGGAGCACTTGGTGTGGAATTGCGCGTTTTTCAGTCGTGGCAGACCTCCTCGACCAGCTCTTCCTCTTCGCGGACGTTTGGGCTGGCCGTGGCGGACCGTGACTCGCCAGGCGCGTAGTGTTCTGGACTTCATGGCGGGCGTGCGTAAGCAGCTTCTGGACGTGCATGGCTTCCACGTGGAGGCCTAGTGGTGGCGCTATCACTTCGGGCGTGAAGGCGGCTTGCTCAGTTCATCTCGGTGGCTAGGGCTGTCGTCTTTCAAAGATAGTCTGTCTGTCAGACTACAACATCCAGAAGGAGTCGACGCTTCACCTGGTGCTGCGCTTGCGCTGAGTCTCGGGCTTTCACAGCTGTTCTGCCTTGCATTCCTAAGCTGGTCTCTAATCAACCTTTATTGCCGGACACACTTCTCACATGAGACGCGTTTCCTTACGTTGATGCAAGGGCAGGCTGCGACGCCTGATATGCGCAGCTTCATTGATCGAAGCTGTGCACTGAACTTTGGCGGGCCCGAGCGCATCGGTCGATCATCTGGCGCGCCAGTACTGGTACCAAACCTTGCACAAACCTAAAGCCAAAGGAAGACCTTCCGGCGCGGCTCGGGCCTTGCAAGGTTGAATCGCGCTAAGCCGTTTGTACAGATTCTCAGCCTTGACAAGCCCCTGAAATATTCTCGGCCATTGCTTTCGCAAGGAAAGGGTCGAGACTCGCTGGCCGCCGATCTGGCCCAAACGAGCTGAGTTTGTGGGGCTTATAGGGTCTTTGAAGCTCACGTTGTTGAAGTTTCGAGGTGTAGAGTGCATGGCGGATTCAGGAACGGATTTTCAGGGTTTGGGAGTTTAGGTTTTGGGCGCAAGCCTGTGGGGTTTAGGGCATGAGGCTTCTATCACCTTCTTAGGCCTTAGGGCAAGGCCACATGCTGCAGGGCGAGTATGCTTCTTTTGCTTACCCCAGCCCCCAAAACATGGACGCCGTATGGCCACATGTGTATTTTGGGGTGGCCAAACCAAGCAATCCCTTCTCCTTGTTCCCTTCAAAGGCACAGTGGACTGACAGACCGCATCTATGCGATCTGGAACTGCACCGTGACCTGGCGAGAAGCGATCTAGTCACGACAGGGGATATCGGGCAGGGAGTCGGCCCTGAACCCTGAACCCTGAACCCTGAACCGAGTGAAGAGCTTTGAGGTTGAGTGGTAAGAACAGCAGAGTTTTGCAGAGTTTTTTGGTTAAGGCTTTGAGGCTTTGGGTCGAGGGCTCAGGGTGCTGCACGTTGCTGAAATGCCAGAAGCTGCGGACCTGGAGGTTCGGTTCGATACCATCGGGGCACCTCGTGAGGCTCACCACTACGGCCTTGGGTTCTCCGTGCCGAGATAGGTGTCCGCAAGAACGTAAAGCCTCAATGGCTTAAACCGAAGCAACCCTAAAAGCGTGGACTCCACTTGGAGATAGTTGGGAGGGGTTCGCAACATCGGAAACGTTCACAGCTTCTTTTGGTACTTGTTGCCCTGCGCGTGGCTACCCTGAGTCTTCTTGCAACCAGCAACACGAAACCCTACGCATGCCCACGATCATGCAGCCAAGGTGATGAAGGTGCCATGGCTGAGTGTCAGAAAGGGCAGCGTAGGCCCCAAAAGAGGAATCCAGCTTGAGGGCTCAGGTGGTGGAGACGGGCCCAAGACCTTCAACCCCCTGGAACCTTAGATCTTCGAGTAAGCCCTAAATCCCCAAAATTCAAAACCAAGAGCCTTAGCAGCGACGAGGCCTTAAAGCCCAAGCGCACTAGGGGTTTCGGTTGCCTCGCCGGCACCGGTGCAATGCCTCTTTGCTTTCGGGGGCGTTTGTTCGGATTCAAGCCGCGCTTTGGCCACGTCGCATTCGTTGTCGTCGGAGAGGTGCATGCCGATAACGTTGGCCTGCGTGAGGATTTCGACACATTCTCAACATGTGCGGTCGTTTCTTTCTTTGTCCGCGCATTTATTGGGGCGGGTTGTCGGGACAACGCTCTGCGAGCACACGTTCGGAGCATCATGCGCCATTTGCGTGACCATTTTGCGCGACATGCACTTTGGTGGGGGGGGGGGGTGGGCAATGGTCGCCTCGTGTGCAAGCGGTTCTCTGAGAAGGGCTTCGGGTTAGGTCCGGATGCTAAAGACCGGCAAGCCCACAGTGCTAGCCAGTCCTTCACTCGAAACCCCTGCACCCTAAACCCCTTAGCCATTTGGGCCTCCTGCGTCCTGGAAGCAAGGCGGATCCTTTGCAATTAAACTCAGAACCCTGACACCAAATAGAGACTCCCAATAGTTGTTTTTCCCAACGCGCCAACCCTCAACCCGAAGCCCAAAACCCTGTAAACTACGATGTAAAGCAACCCTCGGAACTGAACCTGTGTCTCGGGTTTGGGTTTAGCGCTTTGGGGTTGGGGCTTATATTTAGGACTGGCATAAGGGTACCTGGAGGAACATCATGTAACTACCCCTTCTCAGACGCTCGGTAGCAACCTAGGGGCGTAGACTCTAAACCCCAAGCTCCTGAAACTTCACCTTAAAGTTGCCTATGTAGGCTCAAAAGGAACTGTAATCCCTGAACCCTAAACCCTAAAACCCTCAACCCTAAGCCTGATGTGTGCTCCCCAATCCGCATGGCCGCTGTTCCCGAAGCATAGGCCGGAGCCTAAAGCTTAGTAAAAGAATCCCAACCCTAAACCCTAAGCCCTAAGCCTTAACCCTAAACCTTAAACCCTAAACCCCAACCCTAAGCCCTAAACCCTAAACCATAAAACAGCAACCAATGAACCCCGTAAAGCCCTAAACGAAACGCTAAGTTACCCGAGGCCCTGCTGTCTCCCCGAGACCACCACATCTGGGTAAGCCCTACGCTGGGTGGTCGGGTGGACGTCCGGAACCTGCTGAGGCCGCAAGGGTCCGAATCCCTAGAGGCTTTGTGATTTTTTTTGGCCGTTTGTTCTTTTTTTTTGGGGGAGGGGGGGGGGGGTTGGGGTTTTTGGGTTTAGGGGTTTTAGTGGTTTGGGCTGTAGGGGTTGGGGGGGCTCTTTCAAGCAGACTGGGCATTTAGTGTAGTTTAGTACTAACACTGCATGGGGTTTGCCATTGTTGAGGCTCTGGGCTGCGAAGCATCTTGAAACCCCGACAAACTCAGAACTCTAGGGTTTACGGTTTAGGAGTTTAGGGCTTTAGGGTTTAGGGGTTAGGGTTTAGAGACTCTAAATCCTCACTCACGCCGCGCTCCAATTGCGCCAGGTTTTCCAACTGGTTCATCGGCCACCAGTGGCAGGAAGGTGCCACGCTGTTGGGATTCCGAAGCCGCGCGACACTCCTAAGTTCCTACAACAACCCGAGGGTCCCTCCTGTTGAAAATTTCGGGCCTTCAAGATGTGGAATTTGGGGGTCGGACTTCGTTCCCCTGAGCCCGAAAAATTTCCTGAACCCTAAACCCCAAACCCTAACCCCTAAACCCCAAACCCTAAGTCATGAAGCCCCAACGCCTTCAGCCCTGAAATGGCCCATGTCGCTATTCGGAGCAGTGTAGGCACTTCGGATGTTCAGCCCAGGACTCCCGAAAGGACTCTTTGTTGCTCGGGTTTGGGGTTTAGGATCTAAGGTTTGGGGTTTAGGGTATAGGGTTTAGGGTTTAGGCTTTGGGGTTTGGGGTGCAGGGAGGAGCGCTTGCACGTTTCTAGGGCCTCCTGGAAATTTTCGGACTGATGCATCTACCCTAAACCCTAAACCCCAAACCCGACACCCCACGCCTGTAGAGGCTACGCGCATGCCAGAGACCTTGATGCGGCCGGCATCTTGGTCTGCATCATCAAGACGATTGGGGGTTTCGAGAAAGAGCAGGGTAACGTTTCCTCTTTTTTTTGGGGGGGGGGGCCTGTAGTGAGGATATGTAAGGGTACCTTATGCAAGGAGATGCTCCAATGGTTGGAGATTTAATATCACGGGTTCGCTGGCACCTGTTGCTTAAATGGTCCAGGAGCCCACATAGGTCAACTAACTCCGCCCCCCCTCACTCCAATTCCCCCACAACCCTCAAACCCGATAACGAACTCCTAACTCCGACACCCGAAGCTTCTTTCTACGCTTCTTTCTCCACCCCGAGTTACAGGATTCTCCAGCTGAGGCTACTGGGATGCTTTGACCAGGCGGCCGGGCATCTGAGGTGCCAGGGAGGGGGGCGAGGGGGCATGGGTTTTGGGGTTTAGGGTGTAGTCTTTGGTGTCGAATGCTAAGCCCGGAGCCCTATGTTAGGGTTCACAAGGTTCAGGCCAGGCCCTAAACCCTAAACCCTAAACCCTAAACCCTAAACCCTAAACCCTAAACCCTAAACCCTAAACCCTAAACCCTAAACCCTAAACCCTAAACCCTCAGGGGCCACCTTGAAACGCGGTGAACTTCCCTGGCAGGCAGGCGCCGAACCAGCTCCTGCCCATGCTGCGGCAGCGTCACTCAGTTGGGGTCACGTGACCTTTGCCACGTTACTATTAGGCCTATAGAGCCTGCAGTGTAGAGAGTTTCTGACGAGCATTTCGGTGTTTGTGGTCTGGGATATCAGCGCTCACTACCCCGGGAAAGTTGCACTAAGCTGCTGCCAAATCACGCGCGGCTGTTTGAATTCAGTTTCGCGCTTGGCGCATATTTTCCAGGCTGCCGACCATTCGTGAGGCCTTACCCCCCTTCTGAGCCCTAAATCCTAAACGCAGAGCATCAACCCTTTAACCATCAGCCTCCTGCTGCTTTTCGAATGGCATGTTTCGCCGTTGCATGCTCGAGGCATGACAGACGTTTCATTTGAAGGTTGGTGGCGGCTTTCCGAACCCTATGAACCCTGTAAACACCGCATGCCCTGCAAGCCCTAAAAGCCCTATACACCCAGAACGGCCCATCAACCCCCTGCAAACCCGATAAACACGGTAAATGCTGCAAGCTCCATAAACCCTGAAGCCGAACAGCCCCGAGCCCCCCCAGAAGTCTGAAGTTCAAGGGGGTCAGGACTTAGGGCTCATGCCGGAGGTCTGAGCATCTCATGTATGAGCACCTCATGTGGGTTTAGGGTTTGCTGTACCCTTGCAGCCCATAATGCTTACACAGCTATAAAGCAAACGGCTGTGGCCCGAATACTCGCTCGAGTTGAGAGGCCCCTATGCTATGTCAGGCACATAAGGTTCG